GGGCCCAAGGGAGCGCTGCAGCGGCTGCCTCTGTCTCCTCCGTAAAACGGCTCTTTTTGTCCCTGCCGGGCCCAGCTGCTGTCCCTTTGCTTCGCGTCTCTCTGCTGCTGCTGTCTCCTGCCTCTCTAGCTTGGCTTGGCCGCTGCTAGCTCCCCCTCGCTGCTGCTGCTGCGTCTGCTGCTGCGCAAGCCGGCGGACCTGGCTGCCGCTGCTGCTGCTGCTGCTGTTATTCCGCGAGCCGGCTTACCTGGCTGCTGCTGCTGCTGCTGTTGCTGCGCGGGCGGACCTGGCTGCCGCTGCTGCTGCTGCTGCTGCTGCTGAGAGGGGACGCCTGGCTTGCGCTGGGGTGTGTGCTGCAGCCGTGGGAAGTCTACGCAGTGGCAGTGGCGCAACAAAACAAAGACAGCATTTCGCAGGCCTGGGCTGAGGGGGTCACAGTGCTGCCGCAGCGGGAAGCAGTTCTTCTCATGTTGGCTTTTTTGCCCGGCAGCGCCCACGTCGAAATCACAGTGAAGGCCTCTACAGACTCGCCCGTGGCCATCACCAAGTGAGGCACCTCGCAGCAGCAGCTGCAGCAGCAGCTGCAGCAGCAGCTGCAGCAGTGCGAACAGCAGCAGCAGCAGCTTGCCGTTGGCTACACTGACGCCGCTTCGCGCCAGCAACACTAAGGGCTGAGGGCTTAGGGTTTAGGGTTTAGGGTTTAGGGTTTGCGGCGTTGTTTGGGAGCGCAGCATCGAGATGCTGGAGGGGATGAGTCTTTCTCAGAGTGCGAATTCGCCGTCAGTGACAATAGGGGATTTGCTGCGGTTGAATGTGCTGCGGCACTTGATGTCGAAGGCGCTGCAGGGAGACGCGGAAGCAGCAGCAGCAGCACTGCAGCCAGTTTCTGCGCGCCCGGGCGCCAAGGGCCGTCAGCCCACAGAGGCCCTCTTAGTAGAAGATGGCCACGGCCAGCTCCAGGAGGCCCTTGCTGAAGTTTTGTCTCAGTGCAATTTCCCCGTCACCGCCTCCCAGGTTAACGAGCTTCTTCTCCGCGCAGGTCCCCAAACACTTCCACTGCCACAACCACCGGCACCGCGCCGCTGGGGGGCCCCGGGGGACCCCCCGG